CTCTTCGACGGTTTTGATCCCGGTTTTGATCTACGTGGCGGCTGAGTCAGCGTGGGACCACATGGGCCCCACATATCAGCTGGCCACGTCATCACCCTCTCCCTATCTCCTCTCTCTCTCACTCTACTGTTATCTTCTGGCGACTAGGCAAGCCGGCCGGAGGCGACGGCGCAGGGCGGCCCAAGGGGCACCTCTTCAACCGGGCACCGTCGCCGCTGGGGAAGGAGCCGTCGCCGCACCAGAATGGTGGCCAGAGCAGGCGAAGCGGCGACGGTGGCGGGCGAGCACGGTTGCGGAGAGGCGGCGTCGGCGGGCGAGAGCGGTGCGGCGTCGACGGGCTGGAACGGTGCGACGTCGGCAGACGAGAGCGGTGGCGGCGGAGGGAGCGTGCCTGCTCATTGGCGGCGTCATGGGCGCGCAGCTCCCGGATCTCGTCCTCCCACCTCTCCACCCTCTCCTCTCCTTGTGGATCCTGTACACGCCAAATTCACAAACAAACCAGATTGCATCGATTGATTATGCTGCTCGTCATCAAGCAACCAACCAAACCAATTATTTTATTAGCGGGTGTGTGTGTCCATGGCCATGGCTATGGATGGTGGTCTTACGAGCAGAGGCGGTCCTCGAAGTCGGCGGCGAGGTTCTTGAACAGCGCATGCCCCGCCTCCAGCATCTCCGACACCTGCATTGGCATTGCAATCTCATCGATCGATGAAAAATTCAGAATGACAAATAGCGAAATTAATGAATGGAGAGAGGTGGACCTGGCGAGTGAAGGCGTCGATGGCGAGGAGGATTCGCTGCACGTGCTCCTCCGTCTCCGCCGACGCCGCCACCACCTCCTCCTCCTCGCCGACGGCCATGTCGTCCTCCGTCTCCGTCATGGGCCCGGTGGTGATGTTGACGACGACCCCGGAGGAGGCCGCCACTCCCCCTCCCGCGCTCCCCTGGCTCACCATCTCCTCCTCTCCCTGTCCTCCGTTGCTCTGCACGCATCCATCCATTCATCCCAAAACTCAGATCAGATTGAGCCATCAAATTTTCGACCCAAATCAAAAATCAAATGCGCCTCAACAACTGAACTGATTGAGACAGTAGATGAAATGGAACAAGTCGATCAGAACGGAATCGCGTGGCCTTGGTTCCATCAAAGCAACGAACGCAGCTGACGACCGAATCCAATCCCCCACAACGAACGCAGCTGCCTGGACTCGCGGGCCACGACCGCGGCCGCCTCTGCCCCATCGATTCCCGGGTGCGCTCGCCGCCAACACCTCACCCGCCGCCAACCACGACCGCGCGGCCAGCCAGCCCCGCGTGAGCGCCGCATCCACGACCGCCTGCCGCTGGTCTCCCGCCGGTCCGCCGCCTGCGCCACCCCTTCCCCATGCCGGAGAGTGAGATCGGGGAGGGCGAGCCCGCCACCGTGTTCGCCCGCCGCCGCCCTCCCCTTCTCCCGTGCTGCATCGTCGGCCGTAGGAGAGAAGAGTGTGTGTGAGAGAGAAACAGCAGAAAAGGGAGAGGAGGGAAAAGAGATACTGACATATGGGGCCCACGTGGGTCCCACGCTGACTCAGCCGCCACGTAGATCAAAACCGGGATCAAAACCGCCGAAGGACCTCTGGTGATTGGTTTTGTATAGTTAAAAGGACCCCGTATATCTGGTTTTGCTGTTTAAGGATGTTTTTGTATCCTGTTGACAAGTTGAGGGACCTTTGGTGTACTTTTTCCTTCATATATAGGCCTGGTAGTGAAATGAAGATCTAACGGTGGAATAAGTTCATCTGAGGTGCCTTAACTTGTCAACGGATCCAATTTTCGTCCTTCAACTAGAAAACCAGATACAACGGGTCTCTCAATTATCAAAACCAGTGCAGATGAAGTCCCTCGGCAGTTTGGAAGACGGTTTTGGCTGACGTGACGCCTAAGTGGCTAATTTGACTCGGTCTCCATTTGACGTGGCATCGACGTGGCGCTTACGTGGCAATTCGATTCGGTAAAAACAATAAACCCCGTGGGACCCGTTTCACACACAAATTAATAAAAAAATGGTGGGGCCCACATGTCATTCTCACCCGTTCTCTTCTTCCTCCTCTCTACCCATCTCCCCTCTCTTCCCCTCTCCTCTCTCTAGGCGCGCCGAGAGGGAGAAGCGCGGCGGCTGCCGGTCGGCGGGGAGAAGGGCGGGGCACGACAAAAATCGATCGGGGAGGCCAGCCGGCGGGGAGAAGCGCAGGGGGCGACAGCCGGGCCGCTGATGCCAGAGGAGCTGTGCGCGGCGGCAGACGGGAGATGGGAGAGGAGGGAGCGGCGGCCGGAGCTGCGGGCCGTCGTCAGACTGCGGGTAGACGATCACGGCGCTGGCGGGGTGCCTGACGTACATCACGCCGGGGAGCCCCAAGGCGAGACCGGCCAAGGACTGCTGTGCCGGCGTGAAGAGCACGCTGGGTAGCCCGGCCGCCGTCGCCTGCCTCTGCGGCGCGCTCGGCCTGGACTTCGGCATCAAGATCAACTACACCCGTGTCGCCGCCCTCCCTGCCGCCTGCGGCGGCAACTTCTCCGCCCTGAGCAAGTGCAACAGTCAGTACAACCAACTCACTCCGATTTGTTTCTTCGTCTCTGTTTTTCTTCAAAAATTTTTTCGCTTTGTTCTTCTTTTTGGGTGACTATGGTTAGTAAACCTTTTACATTTCCCTTTATATAGTAGTACCTAGTTATAGATCAATTTTATAGTTTGTCTATGTATATAATTCGATCTCTTTTTCCTTGGCAGAGAAATTTCCCGGCGCCTCTCCTACGGGAGGTAAAGCAAAATCCTGAATCCTTGTCTGATTGTTCTTGTCGATCTGATTTGAATTTTGATGTAAATGATCAAATAAAGGATTCAATGCCTAATTATCCTCAGTTTGGATCCCACTAACTGAAATTTGTCCCCGAGCACCGTCGCAGCCTGACCTCGTACCACGCCGCCGCCGCCGCTGCCGCTCTCGCCACCGGTGGCAGCGCCTCCATCAGCGGCTGCACCCCCGCCACCCTCCTCCTCCCCCAACGACACCGCCGCGCACACCACCCCCCACCCTCCTCCTCCTCCTCCCCCGTAGCGACGAGGCGGAGGACACGGACGACGATGCCGTGGTGGCGGCGGCGCGAGGCGAGGGCTTCGCGGAGGCAAGCGAGAGCTCCCTGATGACTACTTTGCTCCGCCGGCGCCGGCAACACGCCTCGCGGAGCTCGAGGAGGACCACGCCCGGGACGCGCTCGCGGCGGAGGCAGGTTCCCAGCGGCGGCGTGTTGCTGGAAGAAGGGAGGAGGAAGGATGAGAAAGAAGAGAAAGGAGAGAGGGGATAGAGAGAAGAGGAAGAAGTGAGGATGACATGTGGGGCCCCACCAATTTTTATTTCCTGTGTAGCTGACATGTGGGTCCCATGGTTTTATTTATTTTTTGGGATCAAATTACCACATAAGCGCTACGTCAATGCCATGTGGGACAATGACCTAGTCAAAGGAGCCACGTATGCGGCCACATCAGCCAAAACCGGATACAATACTGTCTAGGACCTTATTTGCACGGTTTTGTAAGTTGAGGGATGCGTTGTATCTGGTTTTGCGCTCAAGGGATGAATTTCGAACTCGGCGAAAAATCGAGGGACCTCAAGTGAACTTATTCCTCTAACGGTTGATCTTTGTGGCACAATGTTGATCCAATGACTGAAATAACATGGTGACGTGGCTCACTGTGAGGCTTGCTTTATAGCAATTAATGCATGCTAGTGGGTACCACACCAAACTCATGCGAGAATTGTGGAGGGGGTCTCCAACGCGGAGCATGCGCGCATCGCGCGTGGGGGCTTGGCTCAAGCATTGCTCTTTGTAGGTCGAGTATAGGTGACCAAATGGACCGCACAAAGGCATGCCAGCCCAGGCACGACTTCACCACAGTTGGCCCAAACACGGCACGTCGGCGTGTGGACCGTGCCTGCAAGGTCCGTTTGGCATAGCCCAGGCAGACCAGCCCACCTTTTTTTTTCACCGTAGTTTTCCTTTTTTTTTACCCCTGTTATTCCTGTTTTTCCCAAATTTTCCATATGCTTTTCCGATCCCCCCAGAAAAAAAATCTCATGTGTTTTTTCTATTTTCCCTATTTTTCGTCATTTTTAACAACTTTTTTTTTCCATATTATTCTTTTTCTCCCTTCTTTTTTCCCTTTTCTCCCTTCTGCATTTTTAACAAGATCCATTAAAAAAAAGAGTAAATTTTAGAAAACTATAACTTTAGTGACAAACTATTAGTTTGCTGTAACATTAGCGGTATATTTTAGTTTACTACAACAATAGCGTGGAAAATTATCAAAAAACTGCAACTTTTACGTTATATGCTGCTACAGTTGTCACCTATATGTACTGTAGTAGCATATAATGTAAAAGTTATAGTTTTATGATAATTTCTCACGCTATTATTGCAACAAACTTAAACATGTCGCTAATGTTACAGCAAACTGATAGTTTTGTCACTAAAGTTGCAGTTTTCTAAAATTTACTCTTAAAAAAACCATCTCGAACCTACTTCTCCCATCCTCCCCGAATACCAAATATAAGAAGCTCCGACCCCTTCCACTTCTTTAATTTTCTTTCTCTTGGAAAGCAAAGGAAATATAGGGATAATATTTCATGAAGCTTCCTATAAGGAGATTTCCAATATACTGTTAGAAGCTGCACTGATTTTGAATTTAGAATTAACTATAGTAGATTCTCTTCGCCACTTCAATTGCCTACCCTTTTTTCATGATTGTTATCAGACCATGTAAAAAATCTACTTAGGATTATTCTTAAAAATCAACTTTAAAATTCAAAAGTAGCTTTGGCTTTTAAAGAAAAGCTTAGCCGCGAGTTCTACATTAATGACATTATATATTTAAAACAGTTAATATGGTTCAAACCAAGTAGGAAAAAAAAACAATTTATGAGCATAAGAGAGAGGTATGCTCACCCAACACCAGAAAATGATCAAATAACGAAGAGCTACATGAACACGAACATATGTGTAAAGACTGACAGATCGTTGCTCCACGAAATTACAAGTTTTTTTCATGTCAACAGAATCAGAGGTTCAAGAAACATCTATTACAGCATATTGACAGCTACAATAGAGTGGAACGAACCACAATGAATAAACGAAAGTGTAAGAAGGGTCTCCTAAGACATTTTTTCCAATGTCATGCACCTACAGAGTACCGATATTTACTGCACTGCAAGTTCAGCTCAGGCTGCCACCACTGGCTGATGCCATGAGCATATTTGAAGTCCGGTGAAGGGCTTACGTTGACAATTAAGTCTGCAGATGGAAGAAGGTGCAGTGGTTCCGATTCCCATCCTAATGCCTTGTAAAACAGATCTCCTATGGAATTTTGGGTTGCGAGCTTCTCGATAAATCCAGCACCGAGATCCTCCATGTTCTTCCGATGCTGGAAGTAGCCGATGTACTCTGAACAGATATGGTCTCCTGGATTGACAAACAGATATGGCGTCCATGATGACAAAATGTGGAAAGAATCTTCTGCAACAGACCTCTGGCTGCTCCCCTCGCCTTTTCCTTTCATTGCAATGGCTAATCCAGCAGTAATTACACTTCTTGCAATGCGGAAACCATGCTTCACTCTCTCATCACTTATCCTCTCGATTGGGGCGGCAACAAAAGGTGGGTTGAAGAGATAGCTTTCCAAAAGCACACCCTTTTTAACCATGTTTCTTCCAGTAAGGATGGCCATACCTGCGCCCAGTGAGTGCCCAGCTAGCCAGATGTTTGAGCCAGGGAAAACCGAGGCGACGTTTTGGACAGCTTGCATTGCAATTGTAAATCTTGAGGTCCGATGGAGACCATTTTGGACAAGGTGGAGGTCAAGGGCGATATCCCTTGAGATGGTTTCCTTCTCAGTTATAGTGCCTCTGAAGGCAATAACAAATCTCGGTGCATTATCAGCAGAAGATTCTTTACTTGAAGGAGGATTGAATTCAAATATTGCACCGAAAATAGACAAGTCAGCATCATCGACAAGCTTGCGGATCAACTCAAAATGGAAGAATTCCCACCAAGGAGGTCCCAAGGCTTCAACAGATTGACGACCTAGTTGCCGGTCCCTCTCCAAAACATATACAGCCTGAACTAAGCATGCAGCCACAGATCTCCGATTATGCTCACAGTTCCTTTTGAGAGTTCATAAACGAGGGAAAAAGTTACTTCCACCAATTTAATGCACTACGGAAACTGTTCATCACATCTGTACTCCTAGCAAAATAATCATATATGTGCACTCTGTGGCAATAGCTCCAACAGGCAGCTGGTTTTGCTGATCATCGATGAAGATCAAGGTGATTACTAGTCCCTAAATTCATGCTTCATTGTCAACACTACATACATAAATATGAAGCTCAATCCACAATGAATGAAACTCCAAAAAGATTGTCTGCACACTTTCATGCATCATATTGTAAGACATGCCATTTTTTTCTTTAACTATTGACATACCAATTATGACTAATGCCCTCTTCAAAAAAAATACAAATGATGGCTGTGACAAGTTTGTTAACATGAGAAGCTTTTGTAATAATAAATGCCTAAATAGACCTAATATTATCTATCATAGAAATAAAAGATAAGAACCAACCAAAACCTTAAGACATTTAACAGAATTTAGTTCTGTGCATGCATGTGCATAAAAATTAAAAACGTAGATTAAGTGCAGCATCTCTACATAGTACATACATAATAATTCAAGAATCACAAAATTTTCCAGGAAATGTCATGTAACACTGTAATCACAACAGGAGCACGTACCAATTAACAGGATTCAGATATGTCGGACCTGAGATACCAAAGATATCTCTGTCCACAGCCATCTGGCTATGCAGAGTCACTCTTCACTTTATTGGACTTTATAGTGATGAAAAACATAACACTGAAACATTAAGAAAAAATTAGCACATAAAAACTGATACTGGTGTCAACAAATGAAAGTATTGAAATCCTCAAGAAAAAGCTACAAAGGTGGTCACATTCAAATGCCATCTACTTTGGACCGAGAGTGTGGTAGTTAAACAATAAATAAACTAAAGAGCAGGCAAATAAGTCCTTAGGGTAGTTCGAAGTATCTATGTTGGTCTGTTCAGCACAAGGTGAAACAGGTAAACACTAGCATTCATATGATTGGTTGGCAACTGAAAGTAATTTCTCAACGCAGGACTCTCCCATGCAACGAGTTCCATTCGTGACAAACAAATCACAAGAAAACACTACATCTGATAATCTGTCTTATAATCATTAACCAGTGTATTCGTACAAGCAAAAAGCACTGACATTGAGTCAGTGACTCAGTGAGACTTACATCAACAAAGAAAAAAGGAATGAAACTAAATAAAAAGTCCAGCAATTGACAGTTCTGGCATAAGGTAACTGGTGTTCCAACATTTCAGTGCTTAGTGGGCATGAGAATGATCAAAGGAAGTGTAAAAGATAAGTTTTTTTTGTTCACCGAGTGTAAAAGACCAGGTTCAAAGCTGGTCATCAGGTGAAGCCGTGAAGGGATGAAGCCATTCTCCAACTAAAATGCAAATTTGGTTTTTTTAAATATTCACTTTTGTGAATCCTGTGAGAGATGTTGCTAAAATTAATACACATGGTGACAGCTCCTTGCTTTAGGCATTTGGCACCAAATCTTTCTAGATAAGGAATTTGGCACCATCTCTATCCTGTACCAACTTTATATTTCTCACATACTTCACAAGCCTCCATTTCTAAAAAGTGTAATGACTAATGATTCCCATAAGCTAACAGACAGGTGCTTCCAAAATATGCTTACATCAACCACCCTAGGATTGAACCTTTTAGGGCTAACAAAAATAATCTTAAAAACAGATGCACATACGATGTTGACTTGCACATAGTAGTTTAGCAGCATCGGCATGACTGGCATGAAACTAGAACATCCGGGTAGCGCGCCAAGGAGCACCACAAATCCATGCCGTTTGCATCTCATGAAACTAACTAGCACATCTGTGTATTCAATTTCAGACAGAATGGTCGCCACCGCCATTACCTTACTTGCCGACTATACAAAAAACGCCCAATTCCTACTCGGAATTTGAAATTGAGCCACGAACACAATGCCTACGATCGTCATATTCCATAAAAAAAAAATCCCCAGCAAGGGCCTCTTCTGCAGACCAATAGTAATACAGAATAATAATACTAGTAGAAAGAAATCGCAACGCAAACAAGGGAAGAACAGGTGCCAATCCAGGAGCAATATTTGCGACGTCCCGGTTCCCCCAAAACGCAGAATATGGCTAACTAAATCGGGATCCCCATCCAGAGAAACCGGCAACCAAGAGGTCCGGCGAAACCACCTCGAGCGGAAACCGGGGAAGCTCGGAGCGGAGGAGGCGGGCGGGGGGCTTACCCTGACGACGAGGAGGAGGAGGGCGGCGGCGAGGCGGGGCGCACTGGCGCGGCGACGCGGAGGAGGCAAGGCGGGGGGCGGTGGATCTGGGCGTGGGAGAATGGATTTTGCGAGAGGCTCGGGATGGGAGAGGCGGAGAGACGGTGACCCGAGAACCCGACCGAGAAAGTGACCGACTCTGTTTTTATCTTTTTCCTTTTTTTTCTCTTTAGATGTAAAGTGACTGACCCGATCGAGCAGTAATAATCTGATCGTAAGACATACTAGTATTTAACTATTTACCACTTTTATAAATGGTAAGTAAAAATTTACTCATATGTTATAGATACATATTGATTCACATACAGTAGTAAATCTTTCATTATCGCCTTTTAAAAAGGATGTCTAGATGGCATTTGACAGAAAAACACCTCACAAATCATATGAATTCTGGACCGTCGGATCGCTTTAAGATTCGTGCTGCAGTTCTAACCCTAACTCCTCTACCTCCCCTCGTCATTCTAGGCCGCCGCCCCCACGCGTCGCCACCCCACATGCCGCCGCCTGGCTCGCCGGCTGGTCGGAAGGGCCCAACGGCGCCGGCGAGCCCCCCCTCCTCCCCTCCCCCTCCCCCTCCCCCTGGCCAGCCTCCTCCCCTACCCCCTCTCTTCCCCAACCGACGGCGCGAGTGCCCCTGCCCAGCCGTCTTTCCCATCTCCAGCAGCTTCCCGCCGCTGGATCCGCCACCACTAGCCACCGCCTCCTAATCACTAGCTGTCGGATTCGCCGTCTCCTAGCCGTTTGCCCCCGCCGCCGATGCCGACCCACCGCCCTCCTCCATCCCCGCGGCTTCGGCGCCGCCACCGGCGCCTCGTCGCCCGCCAATGTCCACCACCCACCGCCGGGCCACCGCCTCCCACGGCCATCCATCTAAGCCCGGTGATCCCCCATCTTCCCCCTCCCCCACCCCCCCTCCCACCCCCATCCCAACCCGGGACCCTAAACCCTAATTCCATTGCTGTCGTCGGGATCGCCAGAGTTGGAGAAGGTGTCGCCGGGAGCTAATGTCGCCGGAGCACGAATCGCAAAGCAAATCCCATGGTTAGTAATCTGCATAATTTTGGGCTAAAAATCATTCGACAGCCATTTAACAATTCCGTTTTAAAAATGGCAAATCATTAAATGCTCCAATGGTTGAAGATTGGAAGACATGTAGGGCCGGACGTCGGAGGGAATGTGAATATGCTTGGGTATAGGGTCCTATGGACTTTTGTTTCCTTTTTGTTAGACCTAAGATTGATATGAAAATGCTAATCTCTCTGATCCAAAAATATAAACACTTGTAACATGTGTTCTTAAAATGTGCAAGATTCCTGTATATTAAAATGATCTTGTATATAAGCACTTATGGAACTGATCTTTTACGGAAAATGCACATACATACTTGTAACTTGAAGCGGAAGGAATATAAAGTTCTTGTAAATATTTGCGAAGTGTACGCAGCTTTAAAATATAGATGGGACAGAGAACAAAGATGTTCACTCGATAAGAGTAATCAAACACAACATATATCATATTTTTAATTTAATTAATCACATAAATGTCTCGATCATTGTTTGATCATTGTTTGTGGCGTGCATGTGCTATGAAGAGATGTACTAATCTGTTGGATGTTCACACCTTGTTATACTAAATTTTAATGACACATGACTACTATAAGGGGTAGGGGTGTCTTGAGAGTCTGGAATGACACGGGTTGTTGAGAGTCTGGAATGACACGGGTTGTAGTTGTGTCGGTTGACCCACCATACCTAATAAGTAGATCCGCCCCTTCACGGTTTGTTTTACATGGGCGTTTCCGTTTCTCAAAGGTGGCACATAGTGAAGATGAATGTTCTTTTTTTTCTTCTTTTCCATTGCCGAACCTTGTCGAGCACACTGCAGGAGCCGATGCTATGAAAAAAAATTGATTTTTTTAATAATAGAATAAAATAACATCCCGGCCTTTGCTCAGAAGAGCTACAGCCAATTATTACAATCTAGCACTATGTAAGAGTGTAATCCAAATGAAAGCTAACACACCAACCAAAATTAAAAGGAAACCAAACTAGACAAAATAACATTATTCCTGTCTATTGGTAAATCTCCATCTATGATTGGCAAACAGTTGCATAACCATCGTTTTAAGCTTACGATATGCAACAATTAGGAACTATCATCAGAATGGCCAATTCTCGGTTAGATCAATGTAATTAGCATTAATTAACAATATCCATGAAAAAAATCTGATAGTTATGAACAAAGATCACTCTCATCAATACATCGTTGGTGCAGGTTGCAAACCGAACAAAGATTGAAACAAATAAGAGAATTAAACAGAATAGAACATACACCGTGTTGATCTCACTGGTGGAGAAACCATCTTTGATCGGTCGACCCAAATCTACAATAGTCCCGGTTCCATTTAAAACCGGGACTAAAAACGATTTTTAGTCCCGGTTTATAAGAACAACAGGACTAGATGATCTTTATTCCCGGTTTGTATGACCAACCGGGACTAAAAATCATCTTTAGTCCCGGTTGGTAATACCAACCGGGACTAAAGATGATTTTTAGTCCCGGTTGGTTCCATGTCAGACCGTGTCAGGCGTTTAGGATCTTTAGTCCCGGTTTGTAACACCAACCGGAACTAAAGATAGAATTTTTAGTCCCGGTTGGTGTTACAAACCGGGAATAAAAATCAACACGTACTATATAATCCCTATTACTTATCCTCTTTTCTCGTCCACACAACAAACTCTCTCTTTCTTTCTTCCTCTCTAACTCCTGCCTTATCTCTTTCTTCCTTCCCTGCTCTTTCTTCCTTCCTCTCTTCTTTTTGGATCGGGCGGGCCGGGCGGCGGGCGGCGCGGCCGACGTGGCGGCAGCCGGCGCGGCGGCGCGCGGGGCCGCGCGGCGGGGCGGCGGCCGGCGCGGCACGCGGCGCGGAGGGCCGCGGGGAGGCGCGGCCGACGGGGCGGCGGCCGGCGCGGCGGGGCGGCGGCCGGCGCGGCACGCGACGCGGAGGGCCGCGGGGCGGCGCGGCCGACGGGGCGGCGGCCGGCGCGGCGGAGGGCGGCGCGGCGGCGTGCGGCGGCGCGGCGGTGGCCGGCTGGCGCGGAGAGGAGGCGGCAGCAGCCGGCCGAGCGGCGCCTCTGTGGTTTTTTTTTAAGAATTTGTGATTTATTGCATGATCCTGTGATGTATTTGATTTGTGTGTGATGTGAACTTGTGATGTATTTGCGATGAATTTTGTAGAACTTGTGATGTAATTTGATTTGTGTAATTTTTTTTAGGATTTGTGATGTATTTGATTTATGTGTATAAGTAACTTAAAGATTTGTGATGTGGATTTGGGATGTTACTTTGATTTGGGATTTGGGGATATGCATCCCACTTGATTCGGGAGAAAATAAAAAAGAAAAAAGAGGACCATCTGTACTGCTGTTATTCCCTCTTTAGTCCCGGTTGGTTGTTACCAACCGGGACTAAAGATAAAGTATCTTTAGTCCCGGTTGGTGTTACCAACCGGGACTAGAGATCGATTTTTACTCCCGGTTATTTCACCCGGGACTAAAGATAGCGATCTTTAGTCCCGGATTCGTAGTCCCGGTTGAAAAACCGGGACTAAAGGGGGGTTACGAACCGGGAGTAAAAACCACTTCTCCACCAGTGTCTGGTTGCCGATTCACTGTGAGCGACATATCTTGAGGCTGATGGTCAAATTAGGGGGTCGTTCGACTTGAGACCGATGGTTTATCCGTTCTGCGGTATGTAGACAATATAAGATTATATTTTTATCCAAGAATTGTCCCACGTATACTATTTTTGTAGAACTTTTTTTTTCTCGTTCTAACCATCAATATATATATATATATATATATATATATATATATATATATATATATATATATATATATATATATATATATTCTCTCCTCCTCGTTTTCTCCCTGAACTTATTTTCTCTGCATATTAATGAAAGCATAGCAATCTTTTAATCTCTTGATTAATAATGTTTTTATCTTTTAATCCCTTGATTAATATATCTTTGATTAGCTAAAACAATAATCTTTTAGTGAACATGGCGAAGTGTACATGTAAGTAAGTAAGATGAGTCCAACTATGTGAATACGAGCAACCAAATAATATATTGTGGTTTTATGCTCAACCCACGCGAGGCTACACGCACGTGTGCATATTCAGTTGATCGTGTGCTAGGGGTGGTAAAGAGCCTAAATTTTTAGGCTACAAAATTGAGTTATTTCAAAAATAAAGTGGGCTTTTTTTTTATTCATTTTAACCTAAACTTATATTACCTCCGGTTTAAATATATGACGCCGTTGTATTTTTATAAATGTTTGCCCATTCATCCTTTTTAAAAATATTTGTACAAATAAAAAATATTTAAATCGTGCTTAAAGAACTTTCGATGATAAATCAAATCACAGTAAAATAAATAATAATCACATAATTTTTTAAATAAGATAAATAACCAAAGATATATAAAAAATCAACGGCATCGTATATTAAAAAATAAGAACGCAATATAAGGCTAAAATAGGATTACGAAAAAAGCTATCCACACCTATCGTGGCGTGGGCTGCTCTCACTGGGCGACGAGATGAGAGACGACCGAGATGTAAAAGTACGGGCCATGGACGGTTTCGGAGTCGGAACGACGAGGGGTCGAGCCCGAATCGGGATGAAAAGTCCAACCTCTCCCGATATAACGGTTATTTCTTCTCCATGATTTTTTTTCTAAAGAAAAAGAAAAAAAAAACAAACCTAGCTAGCTAGGCGGGAGCGATTTGTAACTGCGTCAATGGCGACGGCGGCGGAGTCGCAGGGGCTCTCCCCGGGGTTCAAGTTCAATCCGTCCGTCGAGCAGCTTCTCTGCTTCTTCCTCCTGCCCTACTTGCAGCACCGACGCCTCCTCGTCGACGGCGTCGTCTTCCTCGACGACCCGGCGAGCGCGCCGCCGTGGGCGCTGCTCCACCGCCACGGCCGGGGCGGCGAGGACGAGGCCTACTTCATCGGGCCGGTGCCCGCAGGTGACGGCCATGGTGGCCGGCGGCAGCAGCAGGTGAGCCGCACCGTCACCGGCGGCGGCGGCGGCAAGTGGATAAAGCAGAGGACGGAGCGGCCGAGAGGGGA